CCCTGTCTCAGATAAAAAAAAAAAAAAACAAGAAAGAAATGCCCACTTACAAAAAAACTGATCATGATCAGACTTATACACTGAAATATGTGAGAAATTTCCATTTACAATTCATATTAATCTTGACAGTAAGAGATGATTGCTATCTCAGGCTGTCATTTTACCTATTTCAAAAGCTGTATGTATTCATACAATTCAATTCAACACTACAAGTGTTCTCAATGTATACTTTGGCTAAATATTTTTAAGAAACAATTTTTCATTTTCTGAAGCAATATTAAAGGAGGTTCTGCCACTCCCAAATAAGAGAACAAGAGAAAGTTTGAGAATTTCGTTAAGAAATATACTTAAACAGAGTCAGGTATGTGGTGCGTGACTGTCAACAGCACTTGGAGAGAGGCAGGAGGATCTTGAGTTCCTGGCCAATCCGAGCTACAGGATATTGTCGCCAATAACCAAAACAAACACTATATATTTACTATGTTATATACATATACACGCACATACCAAAACAGTCAATACAACATAGATCTTGTACTTTGAAACGTCAGTCCACTTAGAAAACAGAAACTGAAGAGGAATACTTTTTGGCAACTAAGTATCTGATCAGAAATACATAGAATCCTAATGCTAAGAAAGCTTCCTTTCCCTTTAAAAGGCAGACGCTGACGTTTGTAAGACTAGGAAGCTTCAAAAAAACTATACATGGAATGCATGCTTTAAGATATATACTATGAAGCCTGAATTAATCAACCTAAACACTGCCATCACCTTAATTTACTTGATCCCAAGAAGAAATACCCAGAACTATCTCCCTTACTCAAGCTATGCGTCATTTCTGTTAGAAAATGGCACGGGCAGTGGAAAGGGGGAAGTGTGTTTGGTTTTTTTTTGTTTGCTTGTTTTTTTAAAGAAAACAAGAGCAAAACAAAAAGCCTCCAAAAAACTAAGGCAGGTCAAAAGCTTTACTAGCTTTACTTCTAGAAGGTACTGCCAACACAGGAAGTGTTTGAAAATCGAAAGGCTGCACCGACCTTTCCAAAGTGCTAACTGCTAAAGAGAGAACTGAACTGCCTGCATTTTTACACACACACACACACACACACACACACACACACACACACACACACACACACACACACACCATTCACACGTCATTTTCCTGAAAGTGCTGCTTAGTAGAGAAATCAATTTGGAGTAACAAAAAAGCTGCCATTCCACGACAGCCACTTCGCGACTGGCATCGTCCAGGGCACCAGGCTGGGAAGAGTTGGCTCCACTTACCTTCATCTTGACTGGTGACCTGTGGGGTTCCAGCTTCCACGAGTTCTCTTCCCGGGCGCTGGGAGCCAAAGCAGGGGAAAGAGAGGCAGAGGTTCAGTCCGAGGCGGGGTGCGACCGGGAAAGAAAGTAAACAAATGCGGGCGGGGAGGGGCTGAGCACCGCGGCCCGGGGACAAGACCCCCGTCGGGCGACCACAGCGCAGCGGGCAGTGAGCAGAACCCCAGGCGCGCCAAAGGGCAGCGCGTCCCGCCCCTGCACCACCGGACAGCCCACCGCGCCCCCGCCTCGCCGGCTACTGGGAGCCCT